GCCATGGCCCGGCAGCGGTTGGGGGTCGGGGGGTCCAGGTCTGTCCGCTTGGTGCCCGCACTCTCGGCCAGGACTGGAACCCGCTTTCCTGCAGGGCTGGGCCCCCGGCTCCCCTCCCCGTCCCGCCTTCGAAATCCGCAGGAACTTTTCCCTGCTCGTCCACGCCCCATCCCTCGGCTGCGCGGTGATTGGAGCAGCCGCGGGGCCACCACCCCCGGAGCCTTGGCCACCGATCGCGTCCCGCCCCAGCCAGGGGAGCGGTTCGGGGGCTCCGGATCCTGGAGCTCGGGGGGCCTCCAGGATGTTCACCAATAGGGTTGCTCCCCAGCTCCAGGCGTCCTGAAGCGCTGGAGTCGCAGACCTGGGTCTCCAGTCTAACCTCACCTGACACTCCCGGGCCCCGCCCGCGAACCTCGACCTCCTCCTCGACCAGCTCCAGAGCCTTTCACCTACTGAGCGTCACCGCCACACCCTGGAAGGCAGAGGCCAGCGCAGCCCACACGTGCCTGCCCCAGTCTCGCCGCCGCCCCCACTTCCCTCCCAGCATCCGTGGTGGGGAGGGGGCGCCCCACTTTCTTGGAGCCACCCCTTCTGCCTCCTGAGGTTTCCAGGCCTTTAACATATCCCAGAAAACCTGTAATTCCAGCAGTTCTGCTCCCCGTTTCCACAACCCCCAGGAGCCCCCATGTTGGAGAAGCGACGCACTGGGCCCCGCCCTGACCCCCAGCATTGTTTTTGGCCCTACAGAGGAGCCTCATTAGGAAGAGGAGGCAAAAGGGAATCGCTGTTCTTGAAAAGCACTCCCCTTCCCCAAGGGCCTGGTACCTGTTGGGTAGGTAGAGTATCTAACAATCCAAGGACAAGGAAAGGTAACACAGGGTCCCTTCAAGGCTGGGACAGAGTCAGAAGAGAAAAACAGATCTGTCCTGCTCTTAGTAGCAGGGCTGTTAAGATTCTAGAACCCTCCAGCCTTAAGAGGAAAAGTCTCCCCCAGCCCCTCACCACCTGAAGAGCCCCAGGTTTGTACTGCTTTCCTTCCCCCTTACTCCACTCCACACCTCTTCAGCTAGCAGGCAGCCAGCAATTCAGAGCTGTTGCCTGCAGGCTGAGAGGAAGGATTCCAGCTACTTCAAAGAATTAAGTTCACAGACGAAGCGAAGCGGCATCCCAACCAAACCTTCTCACCAAAAAGCTGAGGTCTTCCCTTCATTCTTCTACCCCCACTTCTCCAAAGGTTTAAATAATAACACCAATCTCTTAAATTATATTTATTATAGGAAAGCAATACACAATTAATGTAGAAAATTTGGAAATTACAGAAAAACTAAAGATGAAAATTTCAGTGACTTTGTTCCACCATCCAAAGATAACCACTAAACATTTTTTAGCATGCCTTTCGTCTTTTTTATCTGCTCTACGTATACAAGTATACACCCATACTTTAAAAGACAAAATTGAGATCACATAACATGCACTATTTTCACAACCTTTTAATATTCAAGGAGTATTTTTCTTTCAGTCAGATGTTCTTTTACATGACTTTTAATGTCTGTGCAGTACCCCACCATCTGGATGGAGATACAATAATTTCCCTAAGCAAAATCCCCTACTGCAAACTTTCATTACAGCAGAAAAGGAATGAATTCCCAACCAAACCATCGCTTCCCATTTTTCTCCATTGCAAACCTGGGATGAACATCTTATCACTAACTAAATCCTTAATTATTTTCTTAGGATAAATTCCCAAAGATAGAATTCATAGGTCAAAGGACGTGGAGCTTTTAGGCTACATGACACATATTACCCAACCGCCATCCAGGAAGCCTGCACCGATGTATACGATGTATACTCCCACGCGCAATATATGGCAATGTCATTTCAGTAGTCTCTTTGCCAATATTGGGTCCTATTTTTTTCTGTTATGGTTTGCTAAGGGAAAAATGCTTTCAGCTCTATTTGCCTTTCTTTAATTACTAATGAAGCATACATTTTTTTCATGGTTTTATCCATTCCAATTTCTTTTATGAATTTCCTGTGTATGTCCTTTCGCAGATGGCTCTTGGTCCTTGAGGCTGCTTACATAAACATTACAGGCTGGGCGGAGGTGGAAGTAGGGCGGTGAAGCCACAGGGCACTGCACTATGGTGCCACATCTTGGAGGCAGAAAGCCTGGAGAGAAATGGTGATCAAAGGAGGAGAGGGCTGGAGGCTTGCCGTTGATGGAGGCTGGCTGTCCTCCCTCCTTTTGGGGTGCTCCTGGCCTTTATGGGCTCCTCTGTTGGATGCCCAGGTAGGACCCTGTGCTCTCCAGGCCTGGTCCTTCACTGGTCTCCGCATTTCCAGGCTCCCTTTCCTCACCTCTGCTCCATGATGGGTGAAGATGGCAGAGGCACATGCGAGGGCTGGAGGGAGACGCTGTGGCCAGTGAAGCAAGAAGAAAGGACGGAGGCAGTGTCCAGGAACAGAGTGACCTTTGTTGCAGCCTATGCGTCTATCCCCTCCTCTCTACCACTGTCCCACTCAGCTTGGCTGCAGAAGGGCAGGGTTCCACAGTCTACTCTTCTCCACATCCTTGAGTTTTTCACAAGCGGAGGATAAGATATAGCTCCCTGCACATCTCCTCCCACCAAATCGAACAGACAGCTTCCTGTAGCCGCTGGGTGAGAATGGATCAGGGCTGGAGGGGGCAGGTTTACACTGCCTGATATCCAGAAGGAGGTCACATCCCACAACCCACCTCCCCTGCTTGCTGCAGGGGAGAATTTCCTGTCTGCACAGGCCTGAGCTGGGGATCACACACCACCTTGGAAAGCAAAGTGAGGAAAGAAACAGGGCAGCGGCAGTTAGAATCCCACCAAGGGGCTGCTGTCCTGCTTTGGATATCAGGGGAAGCCTTGGGCCACCCTTGCATGGGGGGACATCGTGGAGAGGCGAGCTCCTCCTAGCTCCTTGCATTGGTCTAACTCTAACCCCCTCCTCCAGCTTCCCATTACCCCGCCCAGCTCCTGGGTGATGGTGTCAGGGATGGGGGAGGGACAACAGCTTATGTGAAAAGGTGTGTGTTCCCACTCACAGCGGCGCGAGAGCCCAGGTGGGCTTCTGACTCCCTCACGTACACTCATCTGTCTGGCTGCCCATCTCACAGGTGGAGAAACTGAGACAGGAGGCCTAAGGGTCTCAGACACAGGTAAGCGGCCGGGAATCAAGAGTCTGGGCCAGCCTAAGGAAATGCAGGGAAAAATAAGAGCAGAGGGATGATCCTCACACCCGGGTTCAGTGTCACTTTTCCTGGAAGAGTGAGCTTACTTTCAGACCTCATCTGGAAAGGCCAGTGGGGAAGAATGAGAGACACGGAAGGAGGGTCAAGAAGGAAGTCGGGGAGACAGAGTGTTCTTTCCACTTCTTCCCACTGTCACACAAAGACCAACTAACCTGGGCTTGTTTGAGCCTTCTACTCCTCAATTCAGCCAGTGTCTCTAATCTAAAACCGCTCCTTGCTGGGCCAATCTGGGCAAAGGCTCTCCAGCTTTCCCAAAACGTATCATCAACCCTGCTGTTCGGACCTTCCCAGCCCATTTCTGTCACCTTCCAGATGACGGGGAAAGCGGCTCCTCCTCCTCCTCGAAGCCAGGGGCAGAGGGCAACAGTTCTTCAACTGGCAGCTTTAGCTGGGTCAGGACATAAAGCTTGCCACTGAAGAACTACTGCGGCTCAGCCAGGTGAGGGTGTGAGAGGAACAGGCTCCTAGGGGAAAGGGAGGGAAAATGGGAAAGATCTGAGCAGGGCATGTTGCTGCCACGCTGACCCACTCACTGGCCATCAGGGTCCTGCCCCAGTAGACCTTTGAGATTCTAATGAAGGGTTGCAGCTCTGATGTGGGCCTGCAGAAGCTGTTAGCCTCAGTGAGCAGCAAGAGGCAGCTGTAAACAGACTTCCCTTACTCTTCTTTCCAGAACTGGAGTCTAGAGAAACCCAGTCCTGCTCTCAGCCACCCCTGCCCTAGCAGCCCCCGGGGGCCCAGCCTCCTCAGCATTCAGACAGGGCAGAGCCCGAGACCCTGGACACACCCCACCAGCACGCAGGTACTAGAAGTGTGGTACCTCAGGTCCAGAAATATGAGTTCAGTCATCAGCTCAAATGACTTGTTCCCAGGGAGTTCAGCTGGAAGGAGAGTTCTGGGGGCCTGGATTGGGGAAGAGTGAGGAAGGGAGGAGGCCTAGCGTTTGAAAGAAGGTCAGCAGAGGCCTCGGGGCTGTGAGGGGCGGACAGGGGACCACAGGCTGGAGAGGAGGGAGGTGTGGGCAGAGTGGCTGGGACTGTGAGGGGCGGGCAGGGGACCACAGGCTGGAGGGGAGGGAGGTATGAGCAGGGTGGCTGGGCAGCTTCCCCAGGACTCTCGGATGCCAGGCATTCCGCTTGCGCATTCCGGGTACATCTGGTATGAATTCCAGGCTGTCTGCCGGCCCCTCCATGTCTGAACTTTGTTCCAAGTTCCAAGCCCCGCCCCCACAGTTCCAACGCATGAATCAGCAGGAAAAGCCGGGCCCTGCAGCATGGCCCAGGGAGGGGGCTGGGGGCGTGGCAGGCTCGGGGGATGTGAGCTGGGGAGGGCGGGTCTCTGCTGACACTCAGTCCAAGGGCATGGCCCACGCCAGGCTGAGGGGCCAAGGCGGTCTTGCCTTGGAATTTCTATACTCAGAGGGTAAGAAAGATTGGGGGATACGGGGTGCGGTTCAAATTCCGAAACCCTCTTGGGAGGCATGAACTTTGTGTATCTTCCTTCCCCTGGGTGACCAGTCCAACTCCGTCCGACCTTCCTCTGTCTGAGATAGCTCTGTTCAACTCAGAGGAGTCAGCAGCTGCTGAGAGTCTATGCCAAGCAGGTGCCCTTGGCTGCAGGGCGGGGTGGGCCCAGGGCACTGACCCTCTGACCAGCTGCTCCATCAACCCTCTGGCACTCTGACAGCTCCTAGCCCAGTCTGACAGCCAGGATGACAGGCCAAAGGAGTTGGAGGCTGGAACCAGGGCCGGAGGGAGGTGGGGGCGACAGCCTCGCCGGAGGCCATGGGGAGGGGCCAAGAGTTGGCCGGGAGGTGGGGAGAGAGGGAGCCCAGCGATGACTAACCCGGGCGCCCCACCCAGCCAGCCGGCTTCCCAGGCAGTCAGGGCC